AGGAAAAAAATATCACACAGTCTTTAACATTGAGTATTCTTCTAATTTTTATCCTATTAGTTAACCATAATGTTTACCTAAAATGTTAATATGATGATAATGAAATGATAATAAAACACAACTAACAATTTTGTTACACAAATTATAAAACATTGTTTTAACCAGAAATAGCACTGTTTATAAATATTATGAGACCGATCCTAAATGGTTTCGACATTAGCGCTTTAAACAAGCTCGATTAGCCGACACGTTGTGTTATTATCACTTTATTACCGTAATAATAAAAAAGTAAAAACAGAAATTATTTTCGGAATAAAAACCAATTTAATTTTATCCAATTTTTTTAGTAAAAAATATTTTGTTGTTATGCAATACCTCTTAGAAAAAGTTTATTATTGTTTATTGTTGCAAAGTTATTTTAGGATTTATAATGAAATTTAAAGTTTGTCATGTGAGTGCAATATGTTGAGTTATAACAAAAACGATGAAAATATAGATGTATAACAATTCCAAGGCGTACAAATCTGATAAAGTTTGAAAAATTATATTTGTAGTAGTCTAAATAAGAGATTACTTAAATAAATTAATTAATTTTCAATTCAATAAACATGCTACAAACTTGTGGATCAACTTAATAAGTACGTAAAATAATAATTTTTTTTTAAACTTTTCTATGTTATATGCCAGATTATGCTGATCGTTCCTGAAAAGATGTAATATTGCCACATAGGAATGCAAGTTCAAAATAATAATATGAAGGTTGCATGTACATATCTTAATAGTTTATTGTCAATTTATACAAATACTACTAAAATGTGAAATAAATAAGATATAAAGAGTGTATGGAAATGGTTATAAATTAATAATAGAAAATTAATTGAATTTTACTTTTTATAATTCGAAGATGTTTTTCTGAAGTGCGTTAATTGTTTGCAAATTTAAGTAACAATTTTTAACATTTTACTTGCAACAAAAATTTTTTCTTTATTATTATTCGAGTATGAGTAAATTTTGCGAAATGGGTTTTAATGGTTTATACAAACAGTTGGGCTTAATTAGCACCAACTGGAAACAAAGTTTTATGTAATTTCTTTGTATTCTAATTAAGTGTGTTGCTTGCTTTTGTACTCAACTCTTTTTCATTTCCTCAAATAGTAGCAATAGCCATGAATATTAAACTAAATTTAAATTTAGATTCAGTTATAACAAATTTATATTTTATAGAATCTTGAAAGAATGGTTACTTTTTTTCAACACTTTCATTTATTTTCATCATTTCAGCTAATTTATAGAAACTTTACAAATTTGTATATTTAAAAATTAAAACAAATGCATTATTTACTACGTTAGTTTTTTATTGCATATGTAATAAATCTTTCCACTATGTGCATGTTCTTCTCTTTATTTTATTTACGACCTGGTGAAGGCTTAATTAAAAATGCATTACAAAAATCGTTACATTATATATTCCAGCATTTTAATTATAGACTGTGCGTAATATTAACACAAAATTATTTTATAAATTACGAGTTTGTTTTTTTGTATTTTCACTATAAAAATTTAATAAATGGCATATCAACAACTACTTTCATTTAAATTTAATAATTAAACATAACAAAGGCCAATTTGTAAGAATGTATTTTGGTTTGGGTCTGAAAATCAGTCAGGGTTTTTATTAAAAATGACTCAGTCTATTTAGAACACAGCAGTAATTCGATCACAAGCAAATTTTGAAATTTCTATATTAATTAATTTTGTGAAATACTATACTTTCTAATTTTGCTTAATTAAATTTGCTAAAAAATATTTAAAAGGTGTAATAAAAAATTCTATTTTCAAATGGCGGTGTACACATTTGGTAAGTCAATAAATGACATGTCGCAATATAGAGTAATTAGCTAGAAGCGTAGAAGCTGTCATTCTCTAAAGTTTATCAAGTAATGACTTGTATTTCCTTCAACTTAGTGACTCAACCTTTACATCGAACTTTTATAGAAAATTAATCAATCTATTAATTAAATAAAAAAATATGGCAAGAAAAAAGTTTAAACATGCTTTAACCACTCACTAATAATAATATTTAATGTTTTGGCAATAACGTGAAGAGTCTAACCGATTTTACTAATCGATAAAAATAATTTGTTTTATTATGAGCAGGTAATAATTAATTAACTTTAAAAATATAATAAATGAGTTATTGACTTTATGTGCAAGATAAAATGTTGATTGATCCAACGAATCATGTTTGCACACTAAATATGCTTGAACATGTTTCACGCTGATATTTTCTAG